AACTACCTGGAAATAATGAAGACAACTCAAACTCGGGGTGGCCTGAATTTGTAATCTCTGTTACTCAGGAGGCTAAGGTGGGAGGATTGCTTAAGCCCAGGAATTTGAGGTCGGCAGAGGCAACATACAGAGGCTTTGTCTCTTAAATTAACAGACAAATGACAGAAATGGAAAAAAAATTTGCAACTCATGTAAGAGCTAATTTCCTAATATTTAAAGAGTCTCTAGAATTCAATAAGAAAAAGAGCAACAACTCAAGAAAAATGAGCAAAAGCTAAAAACAGACATTTACATAAAGGCAATGTAAATGTCTCCTAAGCATAAGAAAGCTATTCAACCTCACTCCATTAACCCAAAGGACAAACTTAAAATCACATTTACACACTGTCACCTATCAAATTGGCAAAGATCTAAAGGTTTTACAACAGTATGCTAGCAAAAGTATAGAGAAACAGACACTCAAAACAATTACTGGTGGGAGTGTAAACTAGAATAACCACTATGGAAGGCAAGTTGACAATATATATGGAAATTAAAAAGGCAAAAACTTTTGGAACAGCATTTCCACATCTGGGACTTTATACATATAAATATATTCCTGTACATGCAAAATGACATATATATGAGGTTATTATTCATTGCAGCATTTACTGTAATAAAAGATTAGAAATAAGCTAAAAGCCTATCAATAGGAAGTTAAATAAATTATGGTAAATACAAGCAAGGAAATACTATGTGGCTATAAAAAACAAAGAGGAAGCTTTTATATAATGATATATAAAGATCTCTAAACTACATTATTTTAAAAAGGTATAGAATTGCCATGTATAGTATGCTACAATTAACGTAAAACGAGGAAATACATATTTATATTTCTTTATATACACATATAACAACTCTGGAAGGATACACAAGAAACTAATAATAGCAGTAGTCACTGAGAAAAAAAAATCCAGGTAGCTGAGTGATAGGGATTAAAGGGAGAATTTCTTTAATATATTAATTTTAATATTCAAATCATGTGGTATCATTTTTAAAAAATAAAATACAATTTAAATAAAAAAGCATTTCTTACAAATTTTGGTGGAGGAACAGCCAGGTTCAAGCTACTCAGTGAAACCTCCAATCCATTCTGGGCACATGCCACAAGACGCAAAGCAACAAAGAATTCCTGAGAAAGAAAAGTATGAATGTTAAGAGTATTCTCTCTCTCTCTCTCTCTCTCTCTAATGCCTACAAATATGCTTACAATCTAAAAATATTAAACAATTCACAATTACTCCAGGGTTTTTATGTAGCAACAAATATAATAGCACATTTACTTCAAAAACAATTGCTTTAAAATTGAGAAAAGACCTATGTACAAATATGCTCCTAATATTACAAATAGCAGATAAAATATATATGGGAAATGCTTAAATTATGACATTTAAATTGTGATAGTGGAAATTATACAGAATACTCACATTTCAAAGAATATTTAATGATGTTAAGAGATGTATTTTATCATTTAAGTGAGGAAAAAATTTTGAAAAAAAGCCTAGAAGGAAATAATAACTTAAATGTTACCAAAAGTCATCTTACATTATGAGATTATAAATTTTGAAACTGGGCCAGTAATTCAAAAGATTCAATCATTGCTATTCCTGAATCACTACAGACAATAACTGTGTAGCACCTGAAACAATTATGACTGCTTGACTTCAAAATACTTACAAATCTTCCCTCCCCCACCAAAGGTCCTTGGATTTTTAGCATTTGAAATCTCAGTCCCAAACTAACTAACTAACTAACTAACCAAATAAACAAATGCTGAAGCATCTGGTTTTCAGTTGTTTTGAGTTAGAGTCTAATCTGGGAATAGACATGAAACAAAAGCCTTTACTCCAGTTTTAACTTCTCCAAGTTGTCAATACCCTAGTACAGCTGCTGATGCAACCAACCCTTCACTACTTTTCTCAAACTCCCTGTTCTCCCATACACGCTTCATACCCAATTACTATTCTTATCACCTTGTAGGCTGTCTACTTTATATAATTCTTTGCCTTTACTCATTTATTGAAAAAATAAATGCTATTTCAAGATATCCCCTTTTCATCTCATTCATTCCACAAGCTTCTATGTAAATCTGGCTTCAACTCCCACTATTAGCTAAAGAAACTACTGCCTATGCCACAAATAAACTCCTAGCTACCAAATATAATAGCCTGATTTAAACCAAAAAAAAAAAAAAAAAAAAAAAAAAAAAGCAAGCCTCATCCTGCTCATTCTTTCTTTGCAGCCTGGGGAAAGTACGATCCTCCCTGAAGCTCTCCTCCACCAACATAGCTTCATGAAACTCTCCTAATTCTCCTCTGATCTTTCAAGCCTCTTCTCTTGAAGTCAATGCCTCCTTCAACCTTTAAATGCTAGTATTTTAAGTATTCCAACATTGATCTTTCTTTTCTCACCCTATGTGAGATTCAATTACTCTTAGGCAATCAGGTGCACTCACTCAGTACAGGCTCCCAAGTGAAATAATTCTACATTAAATTCTAATTCTGCTACTTAAAGTTATGAGGCCATGGGCAAGTTAAATAAAACCTTTCCATAAAAGCGTAGCTAATACTTTGCAATGTATTATGAGCAATAACATAAAAACTATACAATAAGAGGAAAGTGCTTAGTGTCATTTTTGGCACATAGAAACAGTAAGTATTGGATTCTTTTCTTTCATTCATATGTTAATTCGAAAATCTATGCCTCCAATGCAAATTCAAAGTTTAACTGCAGACCCACAAATCCAACTACCTGGAAATAATGAAGACAACTCAAACTCAACATCCAAAATCCAGGAGTATCAGTGAAGAATTTATAATACTGTAAAATCTCAAGATAGTCACCACACCTGTCATGTTCACCTCTGCATTTCTAAAGACTGGCTCATAACAAGTACTCAACAAATATTTTCTAACCTGAATGCATAGTACCTGGGCACCCCATATGAATTTAGTTTTTCTGTCTCGGATGTACTGAACTAGCCCTTCCACCCAGAGGCTCCAAAGGGAACTACAATCTAGCCCTGAAATCTTACTTAGAAGACTAGGTATTCTGACACTCTCACCTAATTTTTCCCATATCTCTTCTGGGTTTGATTCTGTTTCAGCTATCCCCATGGTGGGGAATTAGTGTTGAGTAGTGGGTCTTATCAAATGTATCAGCATGTAGCAAACTTTGAATTCAATCCCATACAACGCTGAAATCCATTCCCAACAGTCAGCACTTCAAAGTATACTGATGATGTTCAACACCCTTAGCCATAACCACTTTCATGTATTTCTGGTCTACAGTTTACTTCTGACCTGTAAAATATTTTTTCATATATGTATCAGAGGTAAGATCTGGACCAGAATACTGAAGTTTAATCAGCTAAGTACTTCCTTTCAAATGTACTGGGCAATACCATCTTAACACTTGCTAACAAAATCCACTTTTACTTATAACCCTCTACACCCATGAAATTTAATTAAAGAGAAAAGCCTCTCTGAAAGACAGAAAAACAAATTCCAGGAGAATAATGTCACCAAACTAACACTAACCTTTAGAAATTAGTTATTTTACCATCTAGTGAGTGGAAATATTTTCATTGTTCTGACATCTGCGCTTACAAAACCCTAATGTTGGTAAAAACCAATTCTTAGCTTAAAAGCAAACAAAAAAATTACTGACTTTCAATCAAAAAAATTTTCATATGAATCTCTGCATCTTACTTGTTTGTTCAGGATACCTTTGCCATCTGTGTCGGCTAAATCCCAAATCTGAAATTTAGGGGGAAAAAAGTATCAATCCATATTTTAAACAAAAATCATTGTAATGATAAATTAAATCTCTGTAATATACAACCTCATGCTCTCTGGTAATCAGATATAAGAATCATAGAATTAAAAGTAGAAAGAAACCTTAAAGATTATTTAGTGCAACCTTTCACAAAGATACTAAGGCCCAGTGAGGGTAAGTGACTTGGCTCAAGAACATTCAAGGTATCAGAGAAAGAACTAAAACTCAGGTTTTAACTTCCAGTCGAATGTTTTTTTCACTAACTCAGGTTCTAACTCTGAGTCTAATGCTCTTTCTACTAGAAAATACTACCTTATTGTAGATCCTTATGAAGATGATATTCTTTCCTATGGGCAAATTTAGATGGTTAATGTTTATATATGAATAATTAAAATTAATAGTGATTATTTTTCAGGATTTTGAATATGTATCAGTATCATGTATAAGGATTTGACAGGAGAGGGGCTTTCCACCTCTTTGTGCTCCTTCCAAAGCCTCTCATTCCCTACTCTACTCACCACACATTAAACACAGAAACAGTTACAATAGAGGAAGTAGGGATAGAGCCAAATCTGAGTGGGTGGCAAGATTCCCAGTCTGCACTGTTTCTCCCCACCAAATGTACTATTACTTCCTCATTTCATCCTACTAAAAAAGCAATTTATTTCTAAAAATCTGAAAAACACTTTACTTTTCAAGAGGGTAAATCACTGCACCACGAATTCCCTTCATCCCATTATTGTAACTGCTTCTATGCCTCAGTTCTAAGTTTCCTGATGGTATATTTCTGAATTTGTATCCAATTCACCTATAATACTATATATTCACTACAATCTCATTATAATGAACAAATACTACCTTTCCAAGTATCAAGTCTGGAAGCCCTGATTTTTTCAGGAAAGCGGCAGCTTCAGAAGCCAACACCCTTCCAGTATTGCCTGTATCAACCTGAAAAGATACAAACCATAAGTAGACAACAAAACACGAAGGCAAAATTATCATCATTTACCAGCCTTCCATCCCTGTGATTTGGGAACTGGTTTTTTCAAGAAAGGAACAGGAATTCTCAGACTAATATGAGCCAAGGAATATGTGGAGAGCCATATGAGTAGAGTACCACCTAGACAACACTGCAATGTAAAAAGTGTTTTTTCTTATGCCCACCATACAAATGAGAAAACTTAAGCTCAAAGAAGTAAACGCAAATTAGTGGAGTTGTAACATCAACATATATCTTCTGATTCCCAATCTTCTATAGTTTTCATTTAAATTTCAATAAACTTAAATGGCAAAAGGAAGAAAAGGGCAGCATCTCCTAGAGAGGTCTTTTGGACAAACGGGAATTGCTACATATATTATCTGTCTCTTCAAACATCTTTAAATCATCACCTTTTGCTTTTATAGCTACTCTCAGAAACTGCAGCACTTTAAAAAAAAAAAATCAAAGCAATTATCAGCTCCAAAACCAGCAGTGACTCCATAATAAATGTTAAGAAACATTTTAAAAACTATTAAGTTCCTAAAACACATTAAGGGAAACACATTCACTTTAAGTGATTGGGGGCTTTCCTTTAAGACAGAATGAGGTCACAGACAGGAAAAAAACAGAAATAAAAATAAAGGACTCTCATTTTTATAAAGATTTCCTAAAGTTCTATTTGTAAAAATAAAAAGTAAATTTTAAAAAGTTATGGGAAAGGTAATATGATACTAGGATATTTATGAGATAGCTGTTTTTCCAGTTTAGTTAAAAGATTACGTTTACTGTAAACATACAGTACAAAGCATTCCAGACAGTCCAATTCCAGAAAAAAAGCAAGAGAGAAACTCTTTCTTTCAAGTACTAGAATGTGGGATAAATCAGGCACTCAGCAAAAAATAAAGAATTGCCTAATCCTTCAAATTTAGGGTAAGAAGGAAGTACAGAAAGGGTTGGGAAATCTGCCTCTAGAATTCTCCAGAACTCCTTTTCTTTGCCCACCCTGTGACCAGGGTGGAAAAGGAATACCTACACCCAGCATAAACCAAATATAGAAGTACTCAGGGAAAACATCAATCAAGATCTTATAAAATATTTATGTATTATATCCCAATAAATAACTTTACTATCTTCCATTCTTTTGTTTATCATAATAAATTAAACACAGCCATTTAGTCTTTGTTATCTACAGGCAGTTTCTGTTATACTCTGATGTTTGCCTAAAGGCCTTGCCATAAGCTATAGGCTAGAAACTGTATCTTCAACAAGGAAAGTCTCAGAACATCATGAAAAGGATTATACTTTACAGCATATGATATACATTATTCCACATATTCTGCATTATTGTTAAAAAATGGACTTTTGGGTAAAGACATCTGGTATCTGATTCTCACTGACCCTTCAGAATTCAAAATAAATACTTTCATTGAATGTCTTTACTCTTTATGGCAATATAATTATTATACAGGTTCAATAACAATTTGTTCTCCTTTGTTAATCAGGATAAATCAATTGTGTAAAACAAGGCCATATTTGAGAATGATTCCCTCTTATTTAGACAGATTAAGGATCGACTTTCTGTGGCACCAACGTCTACAAAGCCCTCTCAAAAAACTGGCCTGCTACATGGTTTGTAAGGTCCTGGCCTTACAGGTAGCAAATAAGATCCCTTACCAGCAGGCAAGGAACTTTAGCAAACCTGGGAAACCTCAAGATGAGATAAATTCACTCAAATTTATGTGTACTGAAGGTGAAATACGATGGAGAGAATTTCTAAGGTTTGGATCCTAGCCTCAAGATGGAGGAACAAATAACAGAGGCTTTAAAAAATACAATCTGAGATTTTTTAAAAATTTCAGGCTGAAATTAATTCTCCAGCATCAGAAGTTGCTAAATAGTTATACGCCTCTAGGTTTGCAAGTAAAAACCAAGAGAGCCTATAATGGTTAATTAATACTTTCTACAACTATGTAGATCTTCAGTCCCTAACCCCTGGGCTGAGGATGGTACCCATCATGGCCTGTCTCAGGAACCGGGCCGCACAGCAAGAGGTGAGTGGATGGCGAGTGAGTGAAGCTTCATCTGTAAGTACAGCTGCTTCCCATCACTCGCTTGTATCATCTCCACCTCCTGTCAGATCAACAATGGCATTAGATTCTCATAGGAGCACAAACCCTACTGTTAACTTAGTATGCGAGGGATCTAGATTGCCCGCTCCTTGTGAGAATCTAATGCCTGATGATCTGAGGTAGAGGTACAGCAGTGATGCTAGTGTTGGGTAGCAGCTAAAAATACAGATTATCATTTTCAGACAGGTTTGACTGCAGAATAAATGTAACGTGCTTGAATCATCCCAAAATCATCACCACCCGCCCCCCTTGGTGGAAACACTGCGTTCCATGAAACTGGTCTCTAGTGCCAAAAAGATTGAGGACCACTGATGAAGATGGCCAAACCAGCCTTTTCTGTGATCATGATCACTATGTAAGGAAGACTGTTAAGAAAAATGACTCAATACTTGGAAATGGGCAAATAAGATTGTCTATACCCTCCAGAGATTATCTGGTCTGCACACTTGATTGACTTTCTACTGACTACACTACTTTACACTCTGCAGGGGTAGAGGTTAAATTATAGAAAACTGATAGTAATACAAATGATTCCTATCTAATGCAAATGAATTTTATCTGGTGAAGAATATAAATCTCTATAACTCATATTCTCATTTTACATCTGACTGGCTCTCCCAGTAATTAACGAGTTGAATAAAATCCTTGACACATGCTAATTTTACATTTGTATGAGAGTCATGGTTTTCACTTTGTGAAAAATCATAGTTTAATAAGTCTTAAAAACAACATAATCCCAGTGTGGTGGCTCACGCCTGTAATCCTGACACTCTGGAAGGCCAAGGCAGGAGGATCACTTGAGATCAGGAGTTTGAGAACAGCCTCAGCAAAAGCAAAACCCTGTCGCTACTAAAAATAGAATGAAATTAGCCAGACAACTAAAAACAGAAAAAATTAGCCAGGTGGGGTGGCACATGCCTGTAGTCCCAGCTACTCAGGAGGCTAAGGCAG